GCAGGGCCAGACCTACAATGTCTTTAGCATTCTCTTCTTGAGTAGAGAATGCTGCATTTAGAAGTTATGCTACTACTGCTACTATTGCTGCTGTTTTTTAGACAACTAATTGTGTTAAATTCAGGGCATGTTGACAAGGATATTCATATAGGGCTTGGTTGATGCCCCATGAATGTTTTTTTGTGTGTGTGTGGATGATGGACATATGGTTGCATCATCGAGAGATTTGAACATCAGCAAAATTGGGAAATATACTGGGTGGAATGATTGACTCTGTAGTGCCTGGAGAGTCTGGAACATTAGCACATTTGTGGTTGGGATAATGGTGATTAGTGCAGATAGGCACTGATGCATATGCAGTCTTGCCTATTATGTCCTATGAAGATACCTAAAACAACATCAGTTTCTGCAATGAGACTAAATGACAGTAATTATAATTATAAGTGACATAGTTTTTCTTAATAAGTTGCTTGGGTTCCCATGCTGCTGATATATGTTGAGGCCAGCCACGTGGTCCTTTTCTGTGTGTGGCTACTCTTGCGGCCCCTACCTCTGTGGAAAGTTGTTTGTTTGTAGGTAAAGCCACCAAAACCACTTGCTAAGGTCAAAACATGATGTAATCTGCTTAAGTCTTTCTCCCAGGCTGCAGCAGTATGACTTGACCTGTCTTAACATGAGATTCTACCAAGCTGTCTTCCCTCACTGATGTCTAAGACCCTATAGAATATCTTATTCATGCCTTTTATATAGCTTCTATTTTTTAAAAAAATTATTTATTTATTTTTAGAGAGAGGGAAGGGAGGAAGAACATCAGTGCATGAGAGATACATGGATCTGTTGCCTCTCCCATGCTCCCAGCTGAGGACCGGTCCTGAAACCCAGGCATGTTCCCTGACCCAGTATCAAACTGGCAACCTTTTGTTTCGAAGGCCGGCATTCAAGCTGCTGAGCCACACCAGCCAGGGCTGAATCCAGTTCTATTTCTCAATGAACTTGGATGGTGCCTTAAGTATTGAGGTCTCTTTATTGCCTAGGATCTGATCAAATTGACAAATAAGATAAAAGAATAGTGACAGAGGAAAAGAATCAACTTTATTACTAAGACAGGATAGATAGGAAAATGTTGCTTAGTAATAGAGTTAAGTGAGTTTGCTGATTCACTGCTAGAGTTTGGCTGTCTGACTCTCTTATCATCAGGTAGGCCAGCCCAGAAGAGGGGCCTGCCTATGTAGAAGTGGAGATTGCTTGCTTTCTGTGGGCAGTTTGTTCCCAAGATGAAGAAGAGTAGAAATTAGCTGAACAGGTACAGTTTATTAAACACAAACTAACCAGTGAAGAGACCAGGAATTAGATTAATCCATCTATCTTCCTCCAGAAGAAGGAAGTAGTAGGAGAGAAGCATTTTCCTTCCATGTTTATATTTTCTTCATTTATTCATTGTAGAACATCTGTACTGATTCCTTGCTATGGAAATTGAGCATTTAGCTCACTTATCCTCCTTCCCTGTTTCCTTTCCTCTCATCTTCCCAACATAATTCTATTATAATTTTGGTTAAATAAGTATTCAATGTTTACATTTTACAATCATGTACCTATCTTTTTCTCTATAGAATTTTGTTTTTATTGAAATTAGCAAGTGTCTCTTTCTCCCCTTCAGTTTATTTTTAATTTTTATTTTTTTGTCCTTGTCTTTTATTAACCCAAATACAATGACTTGTCTTTTCATTTGTTTTTGAAGCAATAGGTCAGACAGCTTTTGCCACAATAATGTTTGTCCCAGTGGCTGGTATAAGAATTTCAGCACCACATTCCATCTGAAGGCGCTCCCGACGAAGGCAGCTAATTTTGCCATTATCCACTTTGTAGTATTTCAGAACAGCCAGCTTAACCTTTTTTGTATATTTATTCCTTTTGAGAGTGGTGTTAGACTTCTTCCTTATCTTTAGCTCCACCATGACATTTTAGTACAAGATGAAGAGGGAATGCCTTTTGAATGTTGTAGTTGGACAAACTATGTCTATCTGCCAGTTGCTTGTCAGCAAAGATCAGTCTCTGCTGATCAGGAGGAATTCTTTCCTTACCCTGGATCTTGGTCTTTACATTTTATATTGTATCTGAGGGTTCAACCTCAAGAGGGATGGTCTTCCTTGTAAGGATTTTCATGAAAATCTGCATCTTGGCGGTGATTCCACCACAGATAGCAGATTGGAAAAAGCCTGTTTAACTTTTGTAGTTTTAACACTAAAGGAGTGAAAAGCTTTTCCTCAGTTGTATTAGTATATCTATATGTAGATGCTTCATCAAAATTTATCTTTTTAAAGCATAATTTACTGGCATAGTCTGAAGGCTTCATGATAGACTTCTTGTATATAAAGACTCTTACATTAGTGGTCATTTTAGTATCTCAGCCTTCACCATTATCCTTAAGACATTCCTCATCTTGCTGTTTTATTAGACATATTATTCAGATGTCATGTCTTCTTTCTCTTGATATATTGTCATGTTTTGTTCAGCACAGACTCTAAAAGTTTCTTGATAAAGAATATATGGGAGGTAAATCTTTAAGAAGTTACATGTCTGAAATGTCTCCTTTTTACCCTCACATTTAATTCATAGTCTGAATACTGAGTATAGAACCTAAGTGTGAAATAATTTTTCTGTAGAATTTGATAGCATTGACCTATTGTTTTCTTTCAGTGTTGTTAGTAAGTTTGATGCCTTTTTAAAAAAATCTTTAATTCTTTGTATGAAATGTATTGCTTTCTGAAAGTCTGTAGAATTTTTTTTATACTCATAATTCTGAAATTTTATGATGGTTTGCCTTGCCAAGGGTCTATTTTTGTCCGTTGTGCTGAATGCATGAGTCAGCCCTTTCAGTCTGGATGTCTGTAATCTTTCATCCTGGAACATTTTATAGAATTAATGTTTTGAATCTTCCCTATTCACTGTATAAGCTTTCACATTATGTCCACCTTTTCAGCAATGTGCTTTTGCTCTCAGGTATGAATGGTGTATCCCAGTCCGAAGACCCAGTGTTTTTCCCTCCCCAGTGAACTGCAGGCTTTTACTATGGTGGAAGAGTGTCAAGGTCAGACTGTGCAGTAATGGGAGGTGATCTGAATACTTAATAACCCTAAAGCAGACTTTCAAGAATCCTGTGTTTTTAGCACCAACCTCACCCTCATGGCCAGACATTTGTGAGCCTATTGGCAGTTCTGTAGGGATTATCAGGTTGTTTCTGTGCCTCCCCCATAAATGGCTTTGGATCCAGCTTTCTCAGGTTTAAGTAATGTGTCATTGTACGTTTGCTCTAGAAGTACATGTACCTTTTAATACATTATAAGACCTGGTAGTGGATCTAAGGAACATGATGGATACTGATGAATAAAAATGGTATTTCATTGTTTGTGCAACAGCAGTAATATTATATGAAATTATCTTTGATTTCTGTTGTTTACCAAGTCCTGTGTACTGCTAAATACTGTTTTTTTCCCCTTACATAAATAGGTGACAGGCTAAAGTTGATTTAGAGGATAGTATGAAAATAAAAGTGTCCTTTTTTCTCATTCACTCTGAATTCTACCCATGGACCCAATTTAGAACTTCTGAATTAACTGAAACATTATGATACCATAATCATGGTCTCCTATATTTGTCCACATTTTTCAAAGTGGTTTCTAGGGTGTGTAACCTGATCAACCTTTCATTCATTCAGCAAATATTTACTGAGTATTAATTAAGTGTATGACACTGGACTGGCATCAGGGATACATTAGTTAATACAACAAACTTTTATCTTCATGGAGTTTCTATATCTAGTGGAATATATAGTTGGTTATAGTGTAGCCTATATTAAAATACATAGTTTATATATATCACCACCCCTAGAAAAATAACTGAAATCACTTACCTTTCTGATAAGATCAGTACTTGAAACAGAATTTAAAATGTTTTATTATAAAAGTAATATTTATTTACTTATTTATTTTAAAAATTATTTTATTGTTGTTCAGTTACAATTGTCTGCATTTCTCCCCCCCCACACTACCCACAACCCCAGCCAAATCTCCCTCCCTCCCTTGCTTCCACTCTTCCCCTTGGTTTTGCCCAAGTGTCCTCTATAGTAGTTCCTGAAAACCCTTCCCCCATTATCCCCTTCCCCTGGCTATTGTTAGATTATTATTAATTTCAATGTCTCTGGTTATATTTTGTTTGCTTTTTTCTATTGTTGATTATGCTCCAGTTAAAGGTGAGATCATGTGGTATTTGTACCTCACTGCCTGGCTTATTTCACTTAGCATAATGTTCTCCAGTTCCATCCATGGTGTTGCAAAGGGTAGGAGCTCCTTCTTTCTCTCTGCTGCGTAGTATTCCATTGTGTGTAAATATACCATAGTTTTTGATCCTATATACCATATACCATAGTTTTCATTTACTGATGGGCACTTAGGTTGCTTCCAGCAGTTGGCTATTGTAAATTGTGCTGCTATGAACACTGGGGTACATAGGTTCTTTTGGATTGGTGTTTCACGGTTCTTAGGATATAATAAAAGTAATGTTTATTTTTAAAAAAAGAGATGGATAGACAAAGAACAAAAACACTACCACACATTAACATACTAATTAGATTAACCAGTATTAACACCTTGTATATTTTCATTTCTTTTCTATATGTGTATTTAAATATGCACAATTTGTTTGTAAAACTGGATTATACTATAAAAACTTGTGTAAAGCCCTGGCTGATGTGGCTCAGTAGATTGAGTTCTGGCCTGAGAACCAAATGGTTGTTGGTTTGATTCCCAGTCTAAGGCACATGCCTGGGTTGTGGGCTAGGTCCCCAGACTGGGGCGCATGAGAGGCAACCACACATTGATGTTTCTCTCCCTCCCCCTTTCCCTCTCCTTCCCTCTGTCTAAAAATAAATAAATAAAATCTTAAAAAAATATATGTTACCTTTTAAATTTTCTAAGCATTTAACCAAATCTTTTTGTTCACAGCTGGGCTCAAAATGCAGAGAACTGAAAGATATTCATTTCGGCCAGTGTTACAAGATCTCAGATGAAGGCATGATTGTCATAGCTAAGGGCTGTCTGAAGTTACAAAGAATATACATGCAGGAAAACAAATTAGTAAGTACTTATATCATCCTTCTGTTTTTGTTTTGTTTCTAACTTTTAAATTTCTTGTAATTTACCATATCAATTTTCTTCCGCTTAGTATTTTTTTTTGGTGGTTTAGAGGCAAATGCTATGTAAAAGCAAGAATTCATTCCACACAATGATTTTACAAATTAATGCTCTAATTGTATAGGTACTTGTATGTGGGACTTGCATGATAGTCTGCTAATTCAGATATATTGGAAAAAATTAAATTTTAGTTGTAAAACATAATAAATATGTGGTTGTAGTCCTTCCTGATTCCCCTAGAGATTATAATATTACTAGATAGTTAGGATTTTTAATATTCAGGAAGATGTATACTTGTGAAACAGAGCTTTTCACTAAGTATGGTGAAAAATGGTGATTCCATAAATTATGGTAGATAATCTTGGTAGCTACATAGGTTTTATATTTTAGGCACACACGTGTAACTTATTCACACTTAATATTTTATTTGTGATATACTTGAAACCATTTAATTTTATTTTATTGGGATATAATTTACATATCATACAACTCTTTTAAAGTGTAAATTCAATTATTTTAGTATATTAAAAAAATTGTGCAATCATCTTTACTAATTCTAGAATATGTTCATTACTGTGAAAAGAAACTGTGCCCATTAGCCATCATTCCCCATCATTTACCCTTCCTTCAGACCCTGGCAGTTAGTAATCTATTTTCTATTTCTCTGGATTTGCTTGTTCTAGACATTTCATATAGATGGAATTACACAGTATATGGTTTTCTGTGTCTGGCTTTTTTCACTTAGCATAATGTTTTCATTGTTCATCCTTGTCGTAGCTTGTGTCAGAGCTTCATTTCTTTTTTAGGGCTGAATAATAGTCAAAATTCATTTAATTTTGATTTGGTGGACACATTGTACAAGTTAATAGAAAAAGTTGTTACTAGGGAGGCACTAATAGAGTTTTCAATGCTGAAAAAAGGTGTACTTTACAATAGGCAAGGTCACCGTGGCCAGTGTGGCTCTGTTGGTTGGAGTGCAGTCCCATTAACTGAAAAGTCACTAGTGGGATTTCTGGTTATGGCATGTGCCTAGATTGCAGGTTCCTATAAAAGGCAACTGATAGATGTTTCTCTCTTGCTTTGATATTTCTCTCCTTCTCTTCCACTATTTCTAAAATCATTGAACCTGTTCTTGGTTGAGGATTAAAAAAATAAAAAATAGGCAAGGTTGTCTTGAATATATAGCATATTTACAAAGACTTGTGTTTTTTTAAAGATTTTGTTTACTTTCAGAGAGGGAGTAAGGGAGAGAAACATTGATCTGTTGCCTCTCGCACACATCCCAACTGGGGACTGGATCAACAACCCAGGCATGTGCCTTGACCGGGAATTGAACTATGGACCTTTCACCTTGCTGGGCAATAGTCAACTAACTGAGCCATGCTGGTCAGGGACAAAGAAGACTTGCTTTTATTGTATCCCCAAAATAAAGAGATCTTTTTGTTGCTTCTTAAGAGTTAGTTTATAAAATTTGATAAATACATCTCATATATTAATGTAAGTTTTGAAAGGTTTCTAGAACCATCAGCAATTCAAATGAGATAATGCTATTTTAAAAATATTCCAGCCCTGGCTGGTGTGGCTCAGTGGATTGAGCACCTGCTTGTGAACCAAAGGGTTGCTGGTTTGATTCCCAATCAGATGCAACATGCCTGGGTTGTAAGCCAGGTCCCTGGTCAGGGGCACGTGAGAGGCAAGCACACATTGATGTTTCTGTCCCTCTCTTTCTCCCTCCCTTCCCCTCTGTCTTAAATACATACATACATACATACATACATACATACAATATTCCAGTTAGAAAAATTGAAACACTATGAATTAAAAGTGAATGCTTTTATTACCACATAGAATTATTCTTGTCTCTGAAATTATATAGTAAAAATATTTTACTTTTCTCTTTACTACATTTAGTACAAAGTAATTAACCACTCCTGAGGCAGTATGATTTTGTAGAGGGAATAAGATCTTATTGGTAAGGGGGACTGAATTTTGAATCCTGGTTTTCACTTACTTGCTTTGTGACTCTGGGAAAGTTACTTAAGTCCTCTGAGCCCCATTTGTAAATGAGGTTAATACTTGTCTTTTTGCACATTGTGGCAAATGACTAAGTGACATAATGTTCTTAAACTGTCTAGTATAAACTCTGACTCATAAGAGACTATTAAAAGCCCTGGCTGGGTGGCTGGGTTTGTTGGAGTGTTGACCTGTACACCCAAAGGCTGTGGGTTCTTTTCCCTGTCAGGGCACATACCTGGGAATTGGGCTTGATTTTCTCTCTCCTCTCCTTTCTCTCTCTCTCTCAAATCAATAAAACATTTTCAGGTGAGGATTTAAATTTTTTAAAAATAAAACTAGTAGTTTTTATGAAATTATGACTGTAGTTAGTATTTGTTGATTTCCACTACCCTGAAGATAAATTAAAGGACAGTAAACCCAACTTAAATTTTTTGCATTTATTACATAATGGGAATATTTGTTGAGTGAACAGAAAGTAACGTTTTTTGACACATTAAAAATTTTAGTCATTGGCTCTGACAGGTATGGCTAAGTGGGTTCGGTGTCATCCTGCGACTGAAGGGTCTCAGGCACGATTCCCTGTCAGGGCAAAGGCCTGGGTTGTGCGCCAGGTCCCCGCTCAATGTTTCTCTCCCTCTCTTTCTTCCTCTTTCTCTAAAAATAAATAATATCTTTAAAACAAATTTCAGTCAGTGGTTTCCCAAAGGAATTAAATGTATATATATTTTTAACTGTATACTGTTGTGAAGGTTCTAGTTATATTCACATTAGCTTTTTCCTAATATTGTGGTCCATTGAAACGTTGTTATATACTTAAATACTAAGAGAAGCAGTTTTGTATATAGGGCTATTCAGTAAATATTTGCTTTCATTGGAAATTTAAAGTAACTGTCAGATATTAAAGAAAGTTCAGTTAAATAAAGTTTTTTTTTTCAATTTAAGGTTCTTAGAAAAGAAAATGTAGCATTCTTTGAACTCTTTCTTTTGGACAATTGCATTGTTGATAACTAACTTCCCATAGGAATTTTGCTTTGTATTTTTGGAATTTATGAAATAAAGAAAACTACTTGAATTCTTGAAAGACTATAATTTTAAGTATTTGGGTTGTTTTAACTATGAGAAGTGTTGTTACTAGTCATTTAACAATGAATATTTTAAGTAGGGTAAGTAGAAGTAATTGTGGTCTGGTTAAAGACAAGTAATATCTACGCAGCTATTTATATTTTATATGTAATTACAAACAGGAAATATAAATATCATTAAATAGGAAAAGTATTTTAAATTAACAACTAATAGACATACTTGAGAGAATACTATGTAGGAAAGGATACCAACGTTGACTTGTGTAGACATTATTAGCTAAATTATTTGCTAATTCTCTTATTAAAGTGAATTTTCTCAAGAGTTTTAGAGCTTCATGTAGCATCTATGCTATGTAGCATCATAGCATAGGATTTTTATTTAAATATGAACTTTGATGACTTTAAAATATCAAATTGGTTGTTTTTATACATTGGCAATAATTGACCGAGTACACTTTTTTCCATGTTATATCTTGGCCTTTAGGTGGCAGCATTGTCTTTGTATATTTCAGTGATAGATTTCTTTATTTTGAGTCCCTGATATAACTAAAAAGATAACCATGCTTGTACACAGTTTTTACAGATATTATGGCTTATTTAAAATTTTTGTTCTTTAGGTGGTTTTCATGGTAGAATTTTTTTTAAAGTTTTTATTTATTTATTTTTAGAGAGGGGGAAGGGAAAGAGGGAGAAAGAGGAGGAGAGAAATGTCAATGTGTGAGAGAAACACCCACTGGTTGCTTCTTGCTCCCCCAACCAGGGACCTATCTGGCCCACAACCCAGGCATGTGTCCTGACCTTTCTGCTTCTGGGATGATACCCAACCCACTGAGCCATACCAGCCCAGGCAATGGAAAAAAATTTTATTAAAATAATTTAAAATATTAGTTGCAGCTGGAATGTTAAAAGATGAACTTACTGTTTTACACAAAGCAAGATATTCAGACATCCTTATTGTGGAACTAATTTAGGTAAGATGAACTTTAGAATAGGGGAAGGATTCCTGTGTTTACCAGAAGGAAAACTTTTGTTCAGGTGGAAATTGAGGACAGTGACTTGACATTTTAAGACAAATTAATTATGGTGAGGCAAAGAATTAGGATTTACATGTAAAATCTTTAAAGAAAAATCTTTCCAAAAGAAAATGAATTTCTGTTTTAGTCATTTTTGAGTTAGATAGATGCCACTTACCTACATGGATGTATTTTGCATTCACCATGAAACTCTTGTATAGAGTCTAGAAGTAGATGTGAGGAATACAGCTATAGTGAGGGTCTGGTATATTGTATACACTGTTTCCCTGCTCCTAGTGGTAACTTTCACATCACTGCTGTGCAGTACTTGCTCCAAAGTTGTTTTAAAGGCATATTTAGTTTGTGTGTGTAGTTATTGATGATCTAGGAACCCCCTTAAGCATATTCTCTCTGCTTTACTTTCTTTGTTTTAGATTCTGTTTCTCTGCTCTGTGGACAGGAGAACTCTTTGGGCAGCTTTTTATTTAGTTGTAAAAATGATGGGGGCCAGATAGATTATCTATCATTTGTTATCCAATCTGATGGTATAAAGTACTGTACTAAAATTTTACGAATTATTATGAAAATAGCTTCCATGCTGAGTCCTATGGTTATCACTTTGATATTAGATCTGTATGTTTGTGTGTATTTGTTTTTTTAAAAAATACCTTCTACTTTATAGCATTGTGTTGTGAACTAGTATAGACTTTCTGAATTATCAAGGAAGTGGTAATGTATTATGAATAGAATTTAGAATGTTTTAGGGAAATGATAAATGTTTCTTGATTAAAACTTGATTTCCTGAAAGTTAATTGTGACCTTTAATTTTATT